GTGAATCCGTCTTCACCTGGCGCCTTATCACTTTGGAAAGATTCTAGTACATTTTTGCACTCATCATAACTTAGAGGACCTTCCAAGTTGTCCCGATCGTCATCTGAAAGTTTTGGTATTTGCAAATGCTGTGTAAATTCATCGTATTCCTCTTGAGAGAATTTTTTTGCTGATGTGTACAAGTCTCTAAAGTAAACTTCAATTTGGTCGAGGATCTGTTTATCATTGATTGTAGTGGATTCATCTTCTAGGCGAAGTTCCCTTATGGTCTTTTTATTATAATTCCTTTTTTCCATATTGAAAAAATATTTTGTTGGTCGTTCGCCCTGTTCTACCCAACGACATTTCGCTCTAAACATCGCTTGCTTTCCTTTATTTTCGTACAGAGACTGAAGTTCGGATTTAAGGTTGTCATAGTGCAGCAAGATTTGATTAGTATCTGGCGAGAAAAAGTTATTACAAATAGTGTCGTCTAACTGTTCGAGCTGGCGTTTAATATCCTCTGCCCTGTCTCTGGATACTTTTGCTTTGTATTTCGCATACGAGATAGTCGCATTCCTAATTTCCATTTTGATTAGCTCCCACAGGAGACCTTTGCTTGTTGCTTGACGGTAATATCTTACGGTGTTTGAATAGGTTTTACGAACCCACTCCACGTATTCTTCATCTTTTAAAAGGGTATTATTGAATTTCCAGAGTCCGGGTCCCCTCGGGGTTTCACACGACCAAGACAAGGACGTATAAATTGCTTTGTGGTCGGGTGCAATTGATGGATAGATTTCTGTTTTCTTTACACTTTTTGTTAGGTTTTTGGCCAAAAGAAAGAAGTCTATCCTGGACTTCATTCCTATTGCTTTTGATTCATACGTAAATTTTCGTGACTTTGGATAGCGTACTCTCTGAATGTCTATTAGATCGAACATATCCATTGTAGTCACTAACAAGTTCCTGTAATTCGTTGGTGCCCATACCGTTCCTCCAATTTTGTCTTTTTTAGACAGCGTACAATTCCAGTCCCCTCCAACAATTAAATTTGTCAGTTCTGTTTTGTCGATTATGCAGTTGTTTATCTCCTGCATAAACTCGAGTTGATTTGTTTGGTTGGTTGGTGCGTAGATGTTACAAAGTGTTAATTTTTGGGAGCCAAAAGTAATCGTAATTAGCACAATTCTCCCTGAGTTGTTGCTATAACAATAATCCACCTGACAATGAAAAGCAGGGTTGATTAGAATGCAGACACCTTTGCTGTGGTTAGTACCATGGGAGAAAAATATCTCACCTCCCCATTCATTTTTCCAGATATTTTCGTCTTTTAGATCAGAATAGGTTTCTTGGAGAAAGTAGATATTTGTTTTAAAATCTTTCAAGAACGAAAAAATACTCCTTCTCTTAATCTGGTCCCGTATTCCTCGAACATTAAGCGATAAAATATCTAATTTTACAGGCGTTTGCATAGTCAATAAAGAGCTACAATTAGTAGTTTATGATATCGATAACAAAAGGAAAAAAAAAACAACAACAACAACAACAACAACAACAATTAGTTACAAGAGCTAACCCTCTTCCTAGCTTACAGTCCGACGTTGTCCTCAGTTTTCTAGTTTTGTTGTAAGTGTTCTCTTCTAGTATTTAAAGATAGTCCAGATCATCTAATTCATTAATTTTTATAGGCCTACCTTCGGGCGACGTTTTAATAAAAATCTTTCCATCCATTGTCCAAACGCTTAGGATTGAACCATCGTTCCGCATTTCGTTCGCTTTGTTGACGATCTTTTTCCTGTACGACGTGAGGCTCTCGAATAAATAGATCTTGCCGGAGGCAACTCGTGCTGCGGCGGTCGAAGCGGGAAGAGGCTTGAGAAACTCACATTTTTGAGTTTTGTCCGGGCTTTGTATAGATTCGTTTTAGTTTTATGATTAACAAATTTTACGATAATCGGCTTAACTCCCTTTCTCTGGCTTAATTTGTGAGATATTTCGATATTATGTTGGCACACCGGCACCTCCAGGGCATTAGCCAATTTTAGAACCACTTCTTCTGTTGACTCATAAGCTTGTTCCGGTATTCCATGGATCTCCAAGGAGTTTTTCCGTGTGTACTGTTCTAGATGATCTTGGAGGTCGTACAACTCGGCGATTTCTTCCTCCTGTTGGTCAACTGTTTTCCTTGTTTCGGCCAGCTCTTGTTCGGCATCATCAAACTGCTTTATCGCTTTATTAAGCGATGCTCGAAGGTTTGCTATTTCAACATTCTGCCCTCGAATAGTCGCCTTCAATTCATCCATGTTGTTCTTCATGGCTTCGTTTTCTCGTAGAATGTTGCAGATATCGATCTTAATATCAACCAGCATTTCCCTAAGTTCAATAAGTGATGGCTCTACAGGAGCGATCGATGATTCTTTCTGTCCAGGGATCTCCTCCATCAGAGTTGGTCCAGCGAGGCTTGCTAGTTCGCTTGAAATTGGTTCTGCGGTCGCCGCCATATTGGGTCGTTTAGGTGTTCCGGTTTCCTCCTCGCAAGAACCTCTGGCTCCTCGCTTGTTCTTCTTGTTGTTTCCCATAAGTTAGTTTCTAATACTAGAACCAAAGACTGGGAAATTTTGCATTTTCAGAGAAAATTGAGGACGCGGACAGCGCTCTTCAAGAAATGTGCCACTGCACACCGAGTCCACGCATGCTCTCTCCCTCATAGAATTTAAACGATAGTAAATAATCACACAAAACAAAACAGTTCAGTTCATTTCAGTTCAGTTCGCTTGCTGAACGTTCGTCACAGCCACTGCTTGGAGGAGTCAAATGAGCCGAGACAGGCGTTTCTTTCGTGGGGGCATTGTAAGGGGCCAAGCTGCATGTGGTCGCTTGCAATTCACATTGTTGCTGTCTCCTTTAAGGGAACTTAAATCCTAGCTGTTCAAAAATTCTTTAACTTTATTAATTGCAGCAGATCCTTGTTCTTCAGAACCTGTTTTTTTCCTCAGAATAGCCGATACAAGCCTAAAAGATGAGCAAACAACTTCAAATGCACTGGAGTTTTTCTTGTTAATGAAGAGGTGCCCATCAAGAAGCCAAAGTTTGCCACTTTTAATTCTGCAGAAATCTTGAAAAAAAGTTGTCACAATTGGTGATTGCTTTAAATATTGCAAAGGAGTAATTCCACAAATTTCTGTTGTGAGCACATACCAGTAACTCTGATTGCTTAATCCCTCACTGATGTCGCAAGAGAAGGTTGAAAAACCTTTCCTTGGCGCCATTTTGAGGGGAATATCCAGGAAAACCTACATGCACTGACTAGCAATCTGGGAAAAAAAACAAACATTGTCCAGATCCAACCAAAAGAGGCACTAACGATGTTAACCATGCAAATGCTGACATAAATATCACATATTTAATGGGATTAAATAACGTACAGAGCTTGATATATACTTGCAGTGCAGACGATTTGCGTCCCCTCATGTCCAGTGATGTCCGATAGCACTTTACAAAAATGTTTAAAATGTTACAGATATCACAAGTATTGTTCATAAGACTACTTAGAAACAGCTAAAATCCAATACAATCAATTAATAAAAACGTAAAATATAAAGTGAAAATATCAAATGGCTAATATATATAAAAAAACGACCAAAATATAAAAGGACTAATTTAAAAAACGCTTTCTTAAAAGAGAAATCTTCAGTTTTTTCATTGAATCATTCAGACTCTTACAAGATCTTATTTCTAGTGACATGTCATTCCACAACTGTGGTGACGCTACTGAAAAAGAACGAAAGCCATAGTTGCGCAGATTATATTTGACATTAAACAGGTGACAGCCATCAGCAGATCTTAAGTTGCGCCTAGGAATATACCTTGTAACTAGGTCAGACAAATATGGAGGTGCTATGCCATTTACACATTTAAAAGTCACCCAAAGAATTTTAAAAACTACGCACTGTTCTACAGGAAGCCAATGCAGTTCCTGTAATACCGGTGATATATGTTCATGTTTGGGTGTAAGTGCAACCATTCTGGCAGCTGCATTTTGAATATGCTGAAGCTGCTTGATAGTCTGTTTTGTCAGTCCATACAAAAGTGAATTACAGAAGTCCGGAAGAAATGAAAGTGTGTACAAGTATTTCTGCTGTATGGCAACTGATATATTTCCCTATACGGCTGATATTTTGAAGGTGGAAGAAGCCTGCCACATACAGCTGTAACATGATGTTCTATTGACATGACTGTACCATACAGAACACCAATATTTCTAGCTGTCAATGTCTTGCTAATCAACTCATCACAAACTAAGATTGACGTCAGGGGTGGAGGTGGGCAATGGCTGGCATTTTACATGTTTATTAATTTCTACCTTATGTTGTAATACAAAATCAATTTAAAAAATAATTCCCTTGTTTTCTGTGTCTTGAGGTCTGTCTGCTTTTGAAAGAATTAAGACATAAAAATAGATACATCCAGATTTACACAGTTATTTTCAAGTAATACAACTGTAAATGTGCTATGTTAGTATTCTGCTCTTGTAAGGGTCACAAATATTTCAAAAACATACAGGAGCTTGAACTCTTGCCTCTGTTTGGGTACATTTGGCCCTGTCAGAAGCCTCCTGCAACAGTGGAATTTATAAGGAGTAATTCATAACACCACTTTATAAAATACATTTCAAATAATGCCGATGATCATATTTAGCAATTTTTCTTTTACAAAAAAAGAATGCATTTTTATTTCTGTTTCTAGTGGCGGTCTAAATCAATGTACTTCATATTTGTTTTTCTAGTGCGTACTTCCATCTGTGTAGTGTACAAGTGGTGTATGCAGATTAAACTATCTTTGATATATAATTCTAAATCAGTTCCATGCTCCCTATTTTATCTGTGATCTACAAAACTTACAGAAGCTTGCAATTCTAGGTCTTAATGTGCCCTTAAAGCTTATCCCTTTCAGATAGATAGATAGATAGATAGATAGATAGATAGTTTATTATCAAGAACCTTGCAGCCACAGGCTGAATTACGTTTGATTTACAATAAAATATATACTACAAAAAATACATGGCTAAGAAGAACTAATTAAAAAGACAAAAATATATAATTAAGAGAAAAACAATATTACATCATTGCTTTATGGACATAGTGATGGATAAAACTATTTCGAGTACGAATGGTGTGGAGGCGCCGTGTAGTAAAAGAGTGCTGACTCCTTAAATTGACTTCGCACTCATTCTTGGGAGGTAGTAAGCTATAGAGCTTGTGCGAGGGATTAGACAGGATGGAATTAAAAAGCTTATCACATAAGAACTCGCGGCGGTTGTGTAAGGGAACTAGACCAGTCAAAAGAAGCGCCTCATTGTACGAACAATCTGGATAGATAATACGTAAAGCTCGCCTTTGACATCTCTCAAGATCTACTGAAAGGTATTGCGGGAGGCTATGATGATAAACAGGGCATGCATATTCAGTGACAGGCCTAATACAAGTCAAATAGAAGAGCAAAAGTTCCTCCGACTTGACTTGTGCACGCTTAAGCTGACGCAAAAAATACAGGCGCTTGTTTACTTTCTTTACAACTTCGGATACGTGATTATTCCACGTAAGATCGCAAGATATCTGCAAACCTAAGATCTTTGCTTGCTCTACACACTCTAAGTCCTGATCATTAACCTTAATTGGATCAAAGTTCTTTCTAGAGTGACTGAATGTTATGCGCAGTTCCTTGCACTTGGTTTCATTTAATTGGAACTTGTCAGCAGAAGCTTGCGTCGCGAGTTCGTCAACCGCTTGTTGGACTTTGCTGACCTCAGACTTCATGACTGTTTCAGAAATAGTGGAGTCATCGACATATTTCCACATGTCTGTACCCGGGATGATGAGGTCGTTTATCATAATAGTAAATAACCAGGGGCCAAGTTTTGTGCCCTGTGGGACCCCTGATGGGATGGCCCCCCACTCCGAGTAACAGTCCTGACTAAGTTTAACACGCTGTCGGCGACAGGACAGAAAGTCCACTATCCAGTCAATTATTCCGCTTGGAAGATCGTATGAAATGAGCTTCTGAACTAGGATCTGATGGTCAATAAGGTCAAACGCCTTGCGGAAGTCAAAGAGGATGGTTCTGACAGTTGCACCGTTCCCATCCGTAGCACTAAGCCATGAGTGGACCATGCTTATTAGTGCTTGTGTCGTACTGGAACCTGGCACAGTCCCAAACTGCCGTACATCCACTTTCGCCAACACAACAGGCTTGAGGAAACTCTCCACGACGAAATCTTCAGCAACCTTAGAAAGCACGGGAGTTAGGGATATTGGACGTAGATGTTTGTTTACATCGTGTATTGGATTCTGCTTTGGTACTGGAGTGATGTTAGCGTCCTTCCAAGACTGAGGCAACCGTGCTTCCTTAAACGAACAGTTAAGGATATCAGTCACAGGCAGTGCTAGTAAATCTGCATTCTCTTTAAGAAGCCAACCGGGGATTCCGTCCGGACCGGTTGCCTTAGTTGGATTTAAGGCGGATAGCTTCTTTAAAACAGAGAATTCTGATACCTGGAAAGCACTCTCCTGGTCAGAGTTGGTTGAGGTGTTAGGTGAAAGGGGGTGAAGACGCGCATAGGAGCCAAGAACGCCTGGTTGATGGTGTTAGCAATGTCTATCGTGCTTGGAGGCGAACCTCTCTGACCACAATCAATATGTTGGTAGAGGGTAGCTGGATTAACGCCTCTAGAAGCTGCGTCTGACGTACCACTGAGCTTCTTTACCTCACGCCACCAAACTGCGGGTTTACAGTCCTTCAGATGTTCAACCTTGGAGTTATAGAACTTTGCACGGCATGCTTTCCTCTCACGATTAACGCGATTTCGTAGGGTGCGGTACTGCTCCTGGTCGCCTTGAGCGAGGGCCTTTTGGCGGCTGTGAATGAGACCCTTCAATTGTTGATTGACCCAGGGCGGCTCGTTGGTTTGTACCGACTTAGACTTCAGGGGGAGGAGAATGTCCATTCCGGTCTTAACTATGGTCTCCAGCATTTCCACTTTGCCCTTGCAAGAATCTTTACTATCGATAAGTGTCTTAACGTCCACATTTCCAAGATACGTGCGCATAGCCATACGCGTTGTAGGCCGTAAGTCCCTCGATTTCACGATAAGTTTAGTTCTTGGTTGTTGGGAACGCACGAGCGGCTGAACTTCCACAGAGAAATGATCGGACAAACCGAGAGCAGGGCGCTGGATCGGAGGGGCATAGAACTCCTTCACATTTGTTAACACCGGATCTAAGGTATTTCTGCCGCGAGTTGGAAAGGTAACGATTTGCTTCAAATTAAAGCCGTTACTAAGGCGCGAAGATTTCTTTAACAGAGTTTTATTGAAGTCACCAAGTAAAATTATCCCGCAGCCAGGAAAGCGAGCCTCAACCAAAGATAAACAGTTATACAAATAATCCAGCATAGGCGAATCCGCGGCGCTCGGAGAATGATAAACAACTCCAACAATAATGCTGGTAATGCCCCTTGGGAGACGCGAAGGCCGTATTTGAGTCCAAACAACTTCAAACTTCCTATCCATAATGTCCTCAATGATCTTGAATTGGATAGACTCTTTAATGTACAGACACACTCCCCCATGCACTGCTTCAGTTCGATCTCGGCGGATCACGTTATAGCCAGAAATAGCGACAATATTATTGTCAATGTGGTCTTTGAGCCAAGTCTCTGTTATGCATACAAGGTCGAAATCTGCATAATGGACGACTTCACGGACTTCATCTATTTTCGGCGCCAGTGACATGACGTTGGAGAGAAAGAACGACGGCATGAATAGCTTTGATGACTTTGCAGGTTCGGCTTTAGATGGTGTAGGTGGAATAGCGAGAAGGTTGGCGTTATTACAGTATTTGTGACTGGACTTCAAACGGTAGGGGCCATGGTTGGCTGACCTTGGTGAAATAACTGCAATATGGCGGTGACGATAAACTTCTCGCTCCTTCACTTGTCGTCCAGCTCTGGTACCGCGATAAGATGGCCATTTCCCACCATGAAATCGAAGAAAACCAAAAGAGGGGCGAACCTGGACCATTTTGCGGCAGCAGATATAACATTTAAGGCAATAAAATTCAAAAATTACGGAAGCAGATGAGACCTCGTGCTGCCTTGAAAGGCGCATACATTATGATCAAACGCCACTATAGAGGTCATAGAGGTCTCTGTAAATTCAAATTCATGTTCAGTAGTTTACGTTGGAAAATTATGGCCATTGTAGTTAATGAAATAAACAGGACACTGTGACATTTACTTGTGAGCTTCAAGAGCATGTGAAACCTCCTTGCCTTGCCTGATTGCCTCAGCTAAGTCTCTTAAAAGGCAACTGTCATTTCCCGAAAGATATACCATGATAATTTTGCACAAAAAATTAGTAAATTGTACAACACAACATTATACACTTGTATTTGATTTTCTTGGTTTTTTTTTTTGCTTGTCTGTTAATTGTTTTAAAATTTCCAAATTAGAAGTAAATTAAAAGATTTGAGATTGTTTTAAGTTATTAATATGAGCTAGGGAATACGATGTCAGCTACACAAATGCTAAGAGGCCAATGACCTGCTATCATGCTTCCAACTATCATCCTGTTTGATGTTAACATGTGGTGCATCACCCTGATCTCATTATCATTACTGCACAAAGGTTGTTGATGTTTTCCACAAGCTATGGAAATAAGAGCATCAATCCATTACCTTACTAAGGAGATGATAGTGTCTCTGGTAGATGGTTCTGTTCCAAACGTACTCTTTTTGCTCACAATGTTTATTAACTTGTTGTTTGATAGTTAACACTTGTTAACTTGATGATGTGTGCGCCATGGAAAATTTTAATTTGAGGTTGCATGCCTTAATCACTCATCAAGAACTGACTTTTGTCATCCAATAAACTGTTGTCTCACAGGTGAAATTAAAAATAATTTGATATTGATTTCTTCGGGTTACAGCTTGATATTCATGTGGGCCAACAGGAGAACCACCATGGTCTCAACAGCTAATAATAATAATAATGGTGGGGAAAAGCAAAGTTTAGTTCAGAAACAGGGATTGGTAATCAAGCCCACATCCTTACCATTGTCATCAAATTGATGCCTTGAAGAGAGACATACAGGTAGCAGGTTCCCAAAACAGCTATATCCAACAAAGCTGTAAAGTAAACCAATAGAGTTCACTTTATTCAATAAAGTGATGGATACACTGATACTATCAGACTTGTGCATCTTGGCCATTAGTTATACATCTTTAACTAGAATCACATGATTATCCTTCCTCACTCTGATTAAAATGAATTTAGGTCAGTGGTGGTTTACTCAATGTCAAGCCTGCCCTTAAAATATTGTTGAAATATACAGGAAGTGTACCTTAAGATATCCTTGGCTTTTTGTGTTGCTATATATCTGATAAGCTCCAATGGAGTGTAATCCAGGTGGCACTGCTTTCTCATTTGGGTCAAAATTTTAGATAATGAGATTACTGACAAAGTGATTGCTTGTAATTAGATAAATGCACAAAATCTGTCTCTTCCAAAAATACCATACTAATACACCTGTATAATTTAGTGAATGGAAAGAATCCATTGGAAATGTCCAAACACTATGTGTGTTCTATGTCATGTTTTTTTTAATGTCCCATGAAGAAACCAGGCCATGAATAGCTGGTGGCTCGGTTGAAGATAATCTCAGTATTTTGTCAGGTTCCCCTGCAAGTTCTCTGGGTCTAGTTGATAGTGCTGGAGTAAATTTATCTTATCCACACACACAACCGGATGACATATAGCCAGGTCTTGAACCTGACTGCAACACAATCTGGAGTTCATTGTGCTAATGACTAAGTCATTACATGATAATTGTAAGCCAAAGAGACTTTATAGGCAAACTTATCTAAAATCATGCAAACAAGACTTCATGCACTTACTCCCAGTGCATTGGTGCAGGGGCACATCATTTGCTACTATCAACCTTCTCAACAACTGGAGGTCATAGGCAGGTTCACATCTTGGTTCTAATGGTGGGATATCAGAGAATCAACTAGGTACATGTGTTCTTTGCATGCCCAGATTAAGATAACTCATTTTAAATTTTTACTTACTTGCCTCTGCATCAATCAGGAGATCTTCCTCCTCGTATTTTTTTTTTATGAAGTGCAGGAGGAACTGTATATACAAAATAAAAGATGCCAAATATGAAACATACTTGATTTTGTTACAAATAATAATAATAATAATAAGATAAAGAAGAGGAAGAACTCTATTTACCCTACAAAATGGATCAGCTAGTACCGTAAAAAAACTGGTATCAACCCATGTGTAGGTGTAATAAAATACTCTCTATGACTTCTTTCTCTATGCCATCATCATCTTTTCTAGGGTAGTGATATTTCTTCATGAAGTATAACAAGGTCATAGGGTGCCATCTTTATTCACTTGGGGAACTCATCTGTGCAACTGGTGTATGTTATTGCATTCGAGTAGTTATGAGTAAACACCACATGAAAGGGCTCCATAATGGCACCATAATGTCATAGGGGTCTTCATCTGACACG